CAACATATAATATACATGCTCGTTTCGATCATCAGAAGGCGAATTCCTAGATACTAAACATGGTAGGATTACATATGGCAAGATGACAGGAATGGGTTCCATCATAAGCATGCATAGAATAGTCTAAAAATATCAAAGACAACATACACCATGACCTGAAGGATATGTGTGTTCATTCAAAGAAAGGTTTTCCTATGAATTAATTAGTAGAAAAGTCAATTTCTACTGTGCATTGTGCCTCTTGCTATGGAACATGCAGTGATTTTCCCTACTTACATTCCTGTGGGTCATAAAACCAGTGATATCAGCATTAGTTGCCATGGGGACCAGGGGGGCCTGGTGTCGTTGCAGACATCCTGGCACCCAGTTTATTGGGTGAGGGGACTGTGACGATTTGTTAATCTAATGAATAACTGATTTGTTAAATCAAATGAAAAATTGTGTTTTTGATTGGTCCAGACGCTACACAGCCCTATTTGAAACAAATTCATGGGTTGGGAGCACCATGAGGGTGAGTAAATGATGACAATGTTCATTTTTGGGTGAGCTTTTCCATTAAAGATGTTCTCACTCTCTCTTTAAAACTTGAATCAAGAACTTTTTATTTGTATCAGGTCTCTTTCTCTTTCCCCCCTCATCTGTCTCTCTGCTTCACCTTCTTTCTCTCATCTTTCTCTCAGGCCCCTTGCTGTTCTGCCTGCCTTGCCTTTGCCCTGTCAGTGGGGCTGCAGGGATAAACTGTGTGATTAAGCAAGCCCGGCTGTGAACAGAGGAGAGATTGGAGCAGCTGTTCTCATAAAAAATGCAAGCCAATGAGACTCTGTTCCAGCCAGAAATCATCCTGCAGTTTAATGCATTCATTTTTTGCTAGAGAAAGTTGCCCCCAGCCATTTTACAATGGCTAGGTCTTCACATTAGGTGAACATGGAAAATGAATCATTACAAAACACCATTAATTTGTACAATGTTCTGTAGGAACATGTGCACACACACACACAGATAAAAAGCACACAGGAGCACATACATTTAGAGGTTACTGAAGGTTTTAAGTGCTTTAGATCTTATGGCTTTTCCATAAGGAAGGGCAAAGGTTTGGGTTTAACAACAGGGTCATTTTAGAATTAATCAAACCTTAAAGATGCATCATATTTTCACAGACACAATGGAAGTATTTGTGTACTACCTTTTGCACATACATTTGCGTATACCCTGGTGAAAAATAAATATACTAAAATATATTTTATTTACATCTTTTTGTGCTAAGTATACTACAAATACATTTACATATTGATGTTGTAGCGTCTGGACCACTCCAACACACAATATATATTTTGTTAGCTAGATTTCACAAATACTTTGTGTGTGTGTGTGTGTATGTTTATGTTAGACCGGCTTAATGTGTTTGTGTAGTATGTTAGACTAG